GTTTCTGGGAGGCCCCGGGGTCTTCCATCTGTTTGCTGCTCGAGAGGGCGCGTGTCTCGCCGCGGCTTCTAGCAGCGCGCAATGAACGCTTTTCACCCTTGCTGGCGCCGCGACCCGCGCGCCCCAGAACGGCTCGCGCGCCGCGCGCGGCCTCGGGGCGCGAAGCGGGGCGCGCGCGGGCGGGGGGGGGGGGCGCCCTTGCCGCCGCCCCTCGTCGCGCACGCGGTCAATATCGTGGCGCTCCTCAAATTGCGCCCCCTGCTCTAACTCCCGCTGCTGCCCCCTGCCGCGACGCGGCGGAAAGAAGCGAAATCCTCGCGTCGAGCCCTAACCAGGACCACGCGCTGCTCCAGTAACCCCAGCTTGGCGGGAGCATTCGCGGCCGCCGGCGCCGCGGCAGAAGCGGCCGGGGCCCCCTTGGGAGCCGTTGCGCGAGACTGAGCAGGCGGGCGGGGCTGCGCTGGCATTCAGCGGGCCGCCCCCGAAAAGCGTCGGCCCTCAAGACCAACAGCTGCGGCCACTTTGCCCCTCCCTCCCCCCCCGCTCCCCGCGCGCCCCCCCCTTCCCTGCCCCCCGCCTGCCCTGCCCGCCCCTTCCCTGTCCTCCACCCAGTGCCGGCCCCTCCCCAGTGCCCCTCCCCGGCGCCCCCCCTCCTCCGCGCCCCCGCCCTCCGCCGCCGCGCGCCGGGCACCCCGGAGCGGCGCCCCGGTCCGGGCCCAGGGCGAGGCGCCCCCTGAGGCCACCCCCCGGGGCCACCCCTGGGGCCACCCCTGAGGCGAGCCGCGATTTTCGCACATGATTTTGCAAGCGATTTTCTGTTAATTCGAATCAGCATGAAACAAAATCGCGTTCAAAATCGCTGTCAAAATCATGGGCGGTCGAAATCGCCCTCAAAATCGTCGGCAAATCGCGGGCGAAATCGCGGGCAGAATCGCCGGCGAAATCGCCGGCAAAATCGCGGGCGAAATCTCGTGCAAAATCGCGGCCCCGGGGGGTGCCCCGGCGGTGCCTCTCGTCCGGGGGGGGCGAGGGGGGGGGCTGAAAACGGACAGAGGGAGAGAGGGAGGCGGACAGAGGGAAGAGAAGAACCTGACCGGGAGGGGGGGGGCGGGAGGGAGGGGGGGGGCGGCAGGGGGAGGGGGGGGAGGCATCCGCACCCCCTGGCTGTCCGGAGCAAGGCGCCGCGGGGAGGGGGAAAAAACACGCGCACACGCGCGCGCGCACAAAAAATGACCCGGGCGCCCGATCTTTTATCCCAGAACCCGGGCTTAACGCGCCGCCGGCAGCCCACGTGCGACTGGGGCACTAACAAATGTCGCACTCGTACCACTATTTGCCCTACTGCCAAACACCCCCCCCCTTGCCGCCCCGCCCCCCCCGCTCTTCCCCCCCTTCCGCCCGCCATCTCGCGTGGCTCCCTTTTTCCCCCCTAGCTTCCCCCTTTCGCTTCCCCCCCCGTCCTCTCCCGTTCTCTCCGTTTACTTCGCGCGCGCGCGGCGGGGGGCCTCCGCGACGCGAGCAACCCGACCCGCGCAACGTGCCGCGCATGGCGCGGCGCGGCGCGCTCGGGCAAGACCTCGCGCACGCGCAGGCCGGAGGCCCCGTGAGCGGCACCAGCAAGGCAACGCCGCGCACGCGTCACCGCGCAGGCCGCGCACACGGCGCCGCGCCCGCGGCACCGTGCGCAAACACCGGGCACCTCGCGCGGCAGCGCGTGCGCGGCGCTATTTGCACGGCACCGCGCGGGCACGCAGCACGACGCGCATCGAACCGCGCGCCGCGCGCAAGGCACGCACGCGCACGCGAAAGAAGCGCCGCGCAACACCGCGCCCGCAACTCCAGGCACACGACACCACAAATTCAACGTCGGCTGCAGCAGCGGCGGTGCGTTCGTGGCACCTCGCGCGCGGCGCCGCGAGGAAACGCCGCAATCTCGGCGCCGAACGCGGGGCGCCGCGCGAACGGCACAACCCGCGCTGCACCGCGCGCGCGGCATGCGCGCAACGCAGATGTCCAACTCGGGGTGCACGTCGGCAACGCGACAGCAGGTGATGAAAACAACTCAACAAAAAAATTGAAAATACATAGAACACTGGCGGGGAATGTACATCATCGTGGCCAAAATCGGCCCGGGGGGGGCGGGGCCCCGCGAGCTTTGCGCGCGCCAGGCGGAGGGGCTGGCAATGCCTTCTTTTCCGTCACGTTCAGCTTCAGCAGCGCTTGCCTGACGGGGGGGGCGAGAGCCATCGTGCAAATATTCATCTTGTTCTGCTGAGAAAGCGCTGCTCCCTCCTCCAGATACCGTGCCTTGGTGGGGCTGGGCAATATCTATCCACGAACTTCGGCTTCCGCTATCTGAGCATCCCGCCGAAGATCACGGCCCGTCAAAGTCTCTCCCTTTCTCATCATATGAGCGAGCAAGGCCAAGTTCTGAGCGCCACGCTCCCAGTCCCCCGGGCGTTCTCCATTCAATATCGAAAAGTACGACAGTAGCTTGACGATTCCATCTGCCGCGTCGAGCGGTCGAGCGGATGGCCTTGAACTTCTCTTGCAACTTAACAGGATAAGTCTCGACCACCTTCGCCGCCTGCTGGTAGTCCTGATAACCGGTCCGCTGGGAGCACGCGTCCAGGTTGTGTCGATACAGGACTAGGCGATTGAAGCCCAGCCAAGCTGGGGGTGGCCCAAAATCTCGGCTTCGATTCGGCGTCGACGTCCATCCCGTACGAGGTCAGATGTCATCTTGCCAATCATACCACCCACTCATCTGGGCACCCGCTTGGCCACTCCAACCGCTCTCCACTGGTGCAGATCCTCAGTCGTCGTGCCCGCCTCCACCGCTCTCGTGGCGTAACTATCTCCGAGCATCCAGCTACTTCGCCACGGTGACCTCCACCATGGGTGCACGTTCGACCACGCCCAGGACGATGCTCCAGCTACGGCCGAATCCTGCCAGGGATCTGCCCCTGTCTCTTGCCAAGGATATGTTCCGGCATCTTGTGTGGTTCTTGCCCCCTCCGGGGGCCGGTCTCGCGGTGAGCCACTGGGCTCTCCGCCATCATCATCACCTTGTACGCCAAAAGGTCCTCTGCCACTCTGCTGTTCTGGCGGTCCCCCGTCATGAACCATCGCTCCGCTTACCAACTGTTGGCTCTAGGGGGGATGGACAGAATCTTTCGGAGACGGCGGGGGGGAAACGAAAGTGCATGGGAATCTGCTGGGCGCCACGGCGCCCCTAAGCCAAAGAAGCTAAGCACGGGGAGCGAGAGAGGAAGGACGACGAGGGGGCAACGAGGAGACAGGGGACAGCGCCTCCTCGTCCACCAGGAGGTCCCACGTCAAGGCCCTGCGCGGCTGTGGGCGCGCGCGCTGGGCCCGGCCCCGCCAACGCCGCTTCTGGCCCGCACGGGCCCGGCGGCCACTTTGGCCCCGTTATGCACCGCGACAGGCGCCCCGCCAGCGGGCCTGGAGGCACCCCCGGAGGGCGCGACCAAAACGCCAGGTGCGGCGCCACCATCACCGCCACCAAGGAGCGCAGCCCGCCCACCCGCGGCCCCTCTGCCCAAGCTCAGCCCGCCAGCCCCGCCAGCTGCGTGAGACATGGCGGCTCAAAGCGTACCAGGTGACGATATCGTCGTTGTCCGCAAGGACGTGTTCGATGAAGACATCCTGCTCGAGCGACGCCACCGCGGCGTGCAGACAGAGGCTCCACGGCGCTGACCTGCAGGACAACACGGTGATGCAAAAGAGAAGCGCCCAGCACATAATATTGGCCCGGCGCTGCCCTCCCCCGCGCCTGAGACCAGGCTCCCAAAGCGGCCGCGGACTGGGGCCAAACAGGAGGTGAAGGCCTCCCACAAAATGAAAATCAGGATCCCGAAACCGAGCTCGATGCCCCAGGATAAGTGTTCGTTCGCCAGCTCGGGGCACGCCAGGCAGGGGTCAGGGCAGTACCCCTAACTCGGGATTACAGGCGCCAGGAAACACATCACATTCTGTCCGCACAAATTCAGGGCCTGCGCGGGCGTCGGTGACGCGGCCAACGGACAGCTCCGCGCGGGCGGAACTGGCGCCAGGGCCGAAGGCTGCGGCGCCGTCACCGGTGCCGCCGGCGAAGGCGGAGGTGCCTTGACCGGGGCCCACCACCGCGCCACCCAGGCGAATCAGCCGTGAAGGCGAGAAGGCTCCCCTCGCGGGCCACAGCGCGCATGCAGAGGGCGAGCGATGAAGCGAGGCCGCCTGAGGCCCGTTACGAAGAAGGCTTGAGCCGAACGCCAGCGGAGCAGGCGCGCGGCCTTCAAACCCAACACCGAATACTGTTCAGCAACTGCCCATCATCATCCACGTCGCCGTCGTCACCATCATCAACATCATAACCATCAAAACGATCACCATCACCGTCACCACCTCAGTCACCATCACAGCCACATTTACCAGCCTCACAGTCACAACCGTTACAATCAACAACGTAATCCGCAGCCCCATCCCCAACCGCATCCTGATCCTCATTATGAGACTCATGATCACCAACACCCTGAGAATACACAAACTTCGTCATCACACCCGTCATACTCAGCATTGTCATCATCGTCATTACTGTCGTCATCATCAACGACACCATCAGCACCATCATCAGCACCATCGTCAAGATTAACCTCATCGTCACACCACCATCACCATCATCATTACTTGGCGGCGAGCGAGGGGGGGAAGTGAGAAGGAGAAGGCCTTCTCAGAAGTCGGCGGGACTTCTCAGAAACCCTCGCGCCTTCTGAGAGGTTCTTTCTGTCTCCGGGGAAGGCTTAGACAACTTCTCAGAAGGCCAGGGGACTTCCGAGACTTCTGAGAAGGCCCGCTCCTTTTTACTTCCCCCCCTCGCTCGCCGCCGAATTACATTCGACACCATCATTATATCTGGCCTGGTCGTCGCTCGCATCCCCCACCACCCCGCCCTCCTCCCCTCGACACTCAGTCCTCGTCCTCGTCCTACACTTCGCCGCCTCCAGAGACGCGGTTCCCATCTTGTCCATGTAGCGCCGGTTCCGCCGCAACATGATCTGTACCTTGGGGGCAAAACCCAGGCGAGGCGACACAGTGGCGTTCCGCGCTCCTCCTCCTCCTCCTCCTCCTATGACGACGACGGCTACGATTCCTATTACTACTACTACTACTACTACTACTACTACTACTACTACTACTACTACTACTACTACTACTACTACTACTACTACTACTACTACTACTACCTACTACTACACTACCACTACTACCACTACCACTACCACTACCACTACCACTATACTACCACTACCACTACCACTACCACTACCACTACCACTACTACCACTACCACTACCACTACCACTACTACTACTACTACTACTACTACTACTACTACTACTACTACTACTACTACTACTACTACCTACACCACTACTGCGACTACTACTACCACTACTACTACTACTACTACTACTACTACTACTACTACTACTACTACTACGACGACGACGTACTACAACAGGGTACTACAATAACTTATGTACTACTACTAATACTGCTACTACTACTACCACTAGAACAACAACTACTACTACTACTACTTACTACTACTCCTGCTACTAACTACATTACTTCACTACTACTATTTACTACTACTACGTACGAATATACTACTAGTACTGTACTACTAGTACGACTATACGACGACTACTATACTACTAACGAGGGCTACTACGACGCCGACGCTCACTTACTGTTGCGCTTTCTACTACTACTACTACTACTACTACTACTACTACTACTACTACTACTACTACTACTACTACTACTACTACTACTACTACTACTACTACTACTACTACTACTACTACTACTACTACTACTACTACTACTACGACTACTACTACTACTACTACTACTACTACTACTACTACTACTACTACTACTACTACTACTACTACTACTACTACTACTACTACTACTACTACTGTTACTACCACTACCACTACCACTACCACTACTACTACTACTACTACTACTACTACTACTACTACTACTATTACTACTACTACTACTACTACTACTACTACTACTACGACGACTACGAAGACAACTACTACTAGTGCCACCGCCATGACTACATGCGGTCTCGTGCGCCACATCACCACGGCTCGACCACGTTGGGGCGAGCGTCCCGTGGCTGCCTCATTGCCCGAGTATGTAGCAGGCACCTGTGTGCGGTGCAAGGCAAGGCGGAGCGGGAACCGCGGGCTGACGACGCTGCAGCGAGGTTGCCAAGGTGCGCCGAGGCGGACCTGGCCCAAAGTAAACCGACTGCCAGCGGGAAGCGCAGCACGCGGGGCGACCCCAGCGCCGCCCGACCCCTGTCGCACTGGAGGCACCGGGTGACTATGGCCCACAGCAAGACAAGGGATGGGGCAAGCCACAGTGGCTGGTCCAATCACTTAGCTGAAGCTCCGAGGGCAGAGCGAGCGCGCGGCGTGAAACCGGCAGCGCGCGGGGCGGCCCCAGCACCACTGAGAAGCGCGGGAGCACGCAAGGGAGGCGCAGGTAGAGCCTCAGCGGGCCGCGAACTGGTGCGCCAAAGCGGCCGCTAAAATTGACGCGGCGCCGAGGCGGTGCGCAGAGCTTAACCCTGACCAGGCATTAAGAGCCCCCCCTGGGTTATTCTTAGCGCCCGGATTTTTGAACATTCCAGGCGGGCAGTCATCGCAGAGCGATCAACTTAGCACCCGCCGCAAACAGCAAACTAAATTCATCGGTGGCCGCTCCAATAAGGCCAAGACAAGGCGTCGCAACGAATGTCAAGGACCTAGCCCAGATCTTTGTGGACCTCTATCCCTGGTAGGCCCTGCCAAGCCCTGCTTAGCCCTGCGGACCGAGGGGCCTTGCGAAGCCCTGCTAAGCCCTGCTGGGCCTTGCGAAGCCCTGCCAAGCCCTGCTATGCCCTGTGCAGGGCCCTGCTAAGCCCTGCTAGTTATGCCCTGCTAGGCAGGCTGTGTTCAGCACTGCTCAGCGTTGCTACGCCCTGCTACGGCCTGCCAGGCGTGGTCCGAGCTTGGTCCGAAGCAAAGCCCTGCGAAGTCCCACCCCTGATGAGCCCTGCTAAGCCGTGCTTAGCCCTGCTAAGCCCTACTAAGCCCTGCTCAGCCCTGCTTGGCATTGCTAAGCCATGCTAAGCTGCGCTGAGCCCCGCTATGCCCTGCCAAGCCCTGCTAGACCCTGCTAGGCGTAGGCCGCAGCGCGGCTCGAGGTTGAGCCCTGCTAAGCCCTGCAAAGTCCTGCTCTGACCTACTAAATGAACCCTGCTGTGCCCTGCTACGACTTGCTGTGCCCTGCTGTGCCCTGCTGTGGTAGTAGTAATCGTAGTAGTAGTAGTAGTACGCCCCCCCCCCCCCTCCCCCTTTGATTTGACCCCGATACGCCCCCTCCCCGACGTCGCTGCGAGGGAGGCGGCGTTCGTTTTCGCGGGGCTCATGCGAGGCGGGTATGTGGTCGCCACATGCTGAGCGAAAGCAGGCCCTTTATAATAAGAGAGCA